GAGGGAGGACCGAGGGGAAGGAGCCCGCCGGGGCCCTGGAGAGCCGCTCGGCCAGCCAGGAAACGGGCCTGGAGGAGGCCGGCCCCGCGGAAGGGGCGCAGGACGGGGACCGGCACGGGGCCGCCGCAACGGAGGACCTGATTCAGGGGGAGCCGGAGGCGAGCCAAGAGACGGCGAGGTACGGCACTGCTGCCACCCCGCTGCTTCCTGCGGACGCCCTGTCCCCTGGCTGTGGGAGGTGGAGGGGTTGCGTGGGAATCAGCCCTTGGGGGAGCGATCTGCCGCTCAGCACTTCCTCTTCTTTCTCTTTTGTTCTTTCTCTTCTGCACTTATTTTTCCTTTTCAGCATGTTCCTCCTGCTGCCCCCAGCCCGCCCCAGGGTCTCTTCAGCCCATGTCCCCACCTCTGCTGGTCTCTGATGTCACGCAACGAGAACCAGGGTCTAAGCCATTTTTTTGAATTCCCCCGTTTTCCAAGTTGGGGCCTTTGTGACCCCCTCCTCCTCGCAGGCTGCACAGCACGAATCCCCGTCTGACCCCGTGTGAGCAAAACGGGCACGGTGCCTCCCTCTTTGTGCTCTGGAGGTTACTGCTTTCAGCGCCTCCGCAGCCTTGGCCGCTGGAGAGCACCAAAGTGGGAGGGAGCTCCCTTGACCTCTCCCCCTGGATTGCAACCCGTCTCCTCCAAGCCTTTCAGCTGGCAGAGGGTTTTGAGGGACACACGTGCATTGTGTCCTGGAGGAGTTGAGAGGCCTCAGGGAAGTGATGAGCAGCCGGGTCACGGGGTGATGAACTCTGTAAAATGCTGTTATTTCTGGCCCTGGGTGTTTGTAGCCAGAAGAAGGGATCTTGCAGTCTTGTGGCTACTTGTAGGGGAGCTCATCCCAATCTACCATGTGAGGGACTGGAGAAGAACTGACTGAGGCAGCAAGCAAAGCACAGGAAACCTTAGAGAGGGACTCTGCCGTGCTTCTCAGAGTGGGAGCTGGTTTTTGGGCAGTGACTTGGTGTTTCTGAGTGATCCGCTGCAAGAACAAGACCAAAGGAGTTTATCACTCTCTGTGCTTTTTATCTTTCTTGTGCTGACTTCCATCTCTTTTCTCACCCCATTTTCTTCCACTGCTCCTTCCTGTTGCTGTCCCCTTATCTTCTTCCATCTCTTTTTCTCCTTCCCTTTTCTCGCCTCCCACCTGCAGGACGAATGGGGTCCCTGCTGCCGAGCTGGTCGGGACCGCCAAAGAGGGAAGCCCCTTGCAAGCTGCGTCCGAGCTGGGCCAGGGGAAGAACGGCAGCCTCACCGAGCAGGACTGCAGCAGCCTGGACACCAGCGAACAAGCCTTACTGGGCAGTCTGCAGCTGGAGGCAAGTCGTGCTGTGAGCAGGAGCGAACCTGACCTCTCCTCCATCACCGCCAACACTGAGAAGGCCACGGAGAGCACCACCATCATGATCGATGTCCAAGACTCCACTGTGGTACAGAGTGAGGACCTGTCTCTCTTTCCTGAGCCCATGCGTCTCAGCTCCTCTTCTGGCCCGTGGGGACTAGAGTGCCCTAATGGTTCCCTGGGGGGTTGGAAAGTCATTCGTGTGGCTCATTTCCCATCCACATCTGTGGCCTGATGTGGGATGGCCTTCTTCATGCTGCTCCTTGCTCCCTGCCGAGACGAGCAGTTCCCTTAGCCTCCCAGCTGAGCCTGAGCGCCATGCTGACATGCCATGAGCATGACTGGGCTCGTGCGAGAGCCGGCCAGAGCTGAGACACCAATGGGAGACTGCGGGGCAAAGGCTAGTGTAGCTCCACGTGGGTCTTCTGGCTCTGATCCTCCCTCCTTCATGCGTCTGAGCTGGCCTCATTGGCCCAGGGCATTGCTAGCTTCCTTCCAGTACCTCGGTGCTGGTGTTGGTGGAGACAGAGACCTCCGGTTTGATCCGGCTCACTTGGGCTTGCAGTAAGCTGAGGTGCACAGTGTGTACTGTGACCTCTCTTCTGGTCTTGCTGTGCCTTGTAAAAATAGCTCTGCCATGGAGTATGTCCTCAAACAAGAGCTTTTGGAGCCAGAGGTGGTCGTGGCTTTGCTTTGAGGCTGCAGGCCTGCCCGGGAAGCCTGTCCGAGGCGCTGCTGTGCTGGAAAGCCAGGCCTGGCAGCTGCAGCCGGGCACAGCAACCTGCTGCATCCACCCTCTCTTGCCCTCATGCTGGGCCTTGTATCCCTGTCTTTTTGTTTCTTCCTCCTACTGTTTCTGCTGTTGTCTTGCCTCTTCGCCCCTTCCCCTAGAGCACTTCTTCCTTCTCCCTTTCTCACCTCCTTCCTATCTCCTTTGTTTAATGCATCCCTCTGCCTGCCTGCCTGCCTGCCTTCCTTCCCCCCTGCTTCCCCTTGCCGACGTCTGGGCAACATGTTTGAATCCTCTGTTTTTCCTAACACATCAGTAGCCTCTGCCCAGCTTGCTGCCACTCAAACCCTCTAAAAGCATCCTTGTTGTCAAGGTGAGCCGCTTTAAACTGTTATTAATTAAACAGCACTGCAAAAGCTGACCTTGTTAAAACCCCTTTAGTCTGTCTCATCCTGGCAGCCTGTGTCTTGTCTTTTTCTTCTGATCTTTCTCTCTGTAACAGCACAACTTAGACATGGGGATGTAAAGCAGAAAGCTCACGGATTGCATGTGCGCGCCCTCCCCCTGCGCAGAAGTGACATTCTCAGGCTGCTCGGGGGGTGCATAATTCATTTTTGTTGCATTCGCATTGCAGCAGCCGTAGCAATGCTGAGGAGCCTGGAGCTGTTGTAGCTGCAAGACTTACTTCCGGGGGCCCTTGGGGGAGTGCGGCAGGGCATGACTGGAGGCAGGGCTGGCAGCCGCCTGTACCCGCGGCGGAGCAGCTGTTGATGGTGCCTGGCACCACATTCCCATTACTTGTGCATGTGTCCTGTGCTGCTTTCTGCATGCAAGGCCAGGCAAAGGCTCTTGGTTTTATTTGCAGTTAGCAACAAGACAGACGGAGAAGCCAGCCCCTTAAAGGAGGCAGAGACCAAAGAGGATGAGGAGGAGATGGAGAAGAAGAAACGGAAGAAGGAGAAAAGTGAGACAGGCAAAGCAATGGTGCCTCACAGTTCCATGTTCATCTTCAGCACGACGAATCCGTGAGACATTTTTTGGCCTTTGTACCATAGAAACCCAGCCCTGGGGGTGGGGAGGGCTGGATGGGGCAAAGCCTCTACACATCACCTTTGGAAGTAGGAGATCCCCTTGGGAAGGGAGATAAAACTCTCCCAGACTACCTGATTAACACTGATGTCCTTCCCCAAACCCCGAGAGAGCTCTCCTGCTGTTCTAGCCACGCTTGTTGTTCTCTCTCTGTTGGTAATTGCAGGCTGTGATTTTTATTCAGTGCTTGTTGCGCACTTCGGCATTTTTTGAGCTTAGCTCTGCTCCCCCTCTTAGCGCTTGCCCAGCTCTGGGAGGCTGAAAGAATAAGTACACTGACTTATCACCACCTCGCTCTAGCTGGGTGCAGGGTGTCTGGGGGTAGGACAGCAAAGCAAAGGGGTGGGCAAGCCTCAGCCAGCCTCACGCTTTCTCTCGTTGCTCCTCAGTCGTTGCTGCCCATCTTTCTGCTCTGGCAGCTGGCGACGCAGGGTGGGTTTTGCATGCGGGCTGTGACCTGGGCTGCAGGCTGACGGGCCGGGGTGCTCTGTCTCCCCACAGGGTGCGGAGGGCCTGTCACTACATCGTGAACCTGCGCTACTTTGAGATGTGCATTCTCCTGGTGATCGCAGCTAGCAGCATTGCTCTGGCAGCAGAGGATCCCGTACTGACCAACTCTGACCGCAACAAAGTGATTACAAATCTCTCTTGCTTCCCCCACCCCACCCGGCCCTTGGAGCTCCCGAGCCAAGAGGGACCCCAGCACAGGGACTACCTCCAAAATCAGGCTCTTCTCACAGCGCCGTTGTTTAGAGATGAGATAACATGATCTCAGGGCCACGTGGGACCTTGTGCTTGCTCTCACCTTCCTGCAAGGCGCAGCGGTGCTGTGGCAGCCAGGGTGGCAGTCGCTGGGGCCGGGGGAGCCCAGGCAGCACCTGGGTCAGAGCTGTTGGTTGAAGCACTTGCACCACACTGCAGAGTCTGAGCTCCTGCCCCATTGACTTCCTTGAAAACACCAGTCCAGCCTGGAAATCACTCTCAGTCCCTCAAACGTAGAGTTTAGAGCCTGGAGAGCAGGACCAGGGTACTGGAGTGACAGTAAAGCATCTTGAAGCGGAGAGATACTGATGCATGCCTGGATTGGTATGGTGGAGTATGGATCTGGCTCACAGCCGGGTTCCAGAGCAGCTTGCACCATGCACAAGAAATATTTCTCTTCTACCTACATAGACTAGATCCATGGTTGTCCTGCATGCTTAGGTGATAGGCTGGGCCTCAGGACGAGCAAACAGGCCCTCTGTTTGCACTTGGACTGGGCAAGCACTGGCACATGGAGTGGAAACGGCATCTGGGTGGGCACAGGGGAGCCTGTTTGCTGGGCAACTGCAGTCACTGTGGAGCAATGTCCCACCTGTGTCCTCTCTCTGCAGGTCCTGAGGTATTTTGACTATGTTTTCACTGGTGTCTTCACCTTCGAGATGGTTATCAAGGTAAGAGGCGCTTGCCGACTGGCTGTGCAGGTGGTGACAAGTTCTGGCAGCATCCTTGCTGGGGGTGGAGTGTCTCGTGCGGGAAATAGCTCAGTCTTTAAGTTCTGGTCCCAAAATTTGGATGATAGAAACTTGTAGGCCTGGTTCTCAGTGGTGGGAGTGGAGAGTGCTCAGCACCACTTCTGTAGGTCTCTGTAGCTGCAGGGCTCCTGCATTAGCCCAGGAAGCGCAGTGCTCCCTTGTATATGTGCCAGCATGGCTGGGCCCAAGGACGTGTCTGCTGTTCTCCAGCAACGTCCCTGGTTCCTCAGCATGCCCTATCTGTGGCTGCTTTTGCTTTTTTTTCTGCTGAGCTGCTGATTTCCTGCCTCTTTCTCACCGCTTTCCCCTAGATGATTGATCAGGGCTTGATCCTGCAGGACGGCTCCTACTTCCGAGACCTCTGGAATATTCTGGATTTCATTGTGGTGGTGGGAGCGCTCGTGGCTTTCGCCTTGGCGTAAGTGGCTGTCTTCCCTTTCAACTCTCGACCTCTCCGTGGCTGGGGTGGGAGGAGGATGCGTCTGTGCCTTGTAACTACGAGACTTCTGATTTTCTCTGGCTTTCCCTGCTCCCTTGTGCTCTGCTGCTGGAATGGCTCCTCCTCACGGCACCTTGGGGCTGCCTGCAAAGTCCAGTTGTCTTGTTGGTACCCTGAAACGAGTATGGCCCCAGAGATTTGTATCTCCTTGTTTTTTCAAATGACTAGCTGGTGAGCAAGGAGGTGGAGGGTAAGGAGAAGAAAGATCTGTAGATGCGAGGAAGAGATTGATGGTGAAACTGGACTTGGAAGAGAGCAGGGAGAAAAAAAGACTAACAGGTGGCCAAGCTGGAGTTTTGTAGCTGCTATGCGTCCCGAGGCGCATAGACGGCGAAAGCAGCCACCTGCAAGGTGGAGCTGCCCTCTGAACGTGCACTCACTGTGGAGATGGTGCCTTCAGCCAGAGGCACCCCCTCTGCCTTGAGGGGAGTGTTTTCCTGGAGCCCTCCAGGGCCTGGCACGTGGCTGGTGCTGTTTGCCTTGTCCAAAGAGCCCGCCAGCCTTGTGTCGTCCACAGCCTCCCGCTGAGGGCCACACGCTTTGCACCGTGGCGATGCGTGCTCTGCATTGCTGCTGGGCTTTGCCACGTGGCAGGGCATCCGTACCAGCTGGAGGTCTGTGGCACGTTGAGAGCAGCCCCCGTGGTTCCTGCGGCTGCGGCGCATCAGCGATGCCTGTGGAGGGGAGAGGAGAGGCTCGCGTTCCCCAGTGCCGTGGGTTTGTCATGTTGTTGTTCTCTCTTTGTGCCTTGGACACTCGCGATAGTGGCGTTAGTGCTGGTGAAAGGGGAGGGCCTGGCAGCTGCGGAGACTGAAGCCCTGTCTTTGTCCACAGCTCAGGTACTGTGTGAGGGTCTCGGGGTTACTGAGGTCCTAAGCCCCGAGGGCGCTCGATGGATTACAGCCCGTAATCCATCCCTCCCGTTTCACCTCCGGATGGCAGCTCCTTCCCCCCGCTCTCGCTCCCGCGTGCCCTCCTCAGCTCATTCGTGTGCTTTGCTTCTCCCCTTCCTCTCCCCCAGCCCCTTTCCCGCTGGCTCCCTGGTGCATCGGTCACCGCTCTCCCTTGCAAGGAGTGCAGGAGAATTCAGCTCGCTCGGTACTGGGCTGCGCCGGGCTGCCGTGGGAGGACTTATTGCAGACCCCAGCACCTAGGGACATTGCCCTGAGCCCCTGGGAGCCACCCAGAGATGCGTAGAGGCTGTGGAGGTCATAGTCTCACCACCACACGGAAAGGCTGAGCCCTCTGGGGCTCCTTGGTGCCCTCTCCACCAAGGCAGCTCTGCTTGGGCTCTGCCGTCCCGGGCAACTCTGGAGGTATTGACAACCTGGAGACGCTCTGGGTGGTTCAAGGGTTTGCAGGAGAATAGTGGAGGCTTTTGCTTCTAAGGTGTCTTTGTCAGGACTTTTTAGTGGGGAGCTCTTGGTGGCTGATGAAACATAGGTCGATGGCTCAGCCTGGTCCCTGGTGGACAGGTGTCCACACCACCCCGACTGCCGTAATTGGCACTTCTTGGCCCCCTGTTCTTGCTCCAAAAGGGTGAAAATAGAACACCTGATTCCTAGGGTGGGCTCTGGAGAAGGGCGAAGTCCCTGGCTGCTAGCACTGAGCGGTGCCAGGAGCCCGCCTTGCCCTTCCCTGCCCTGCTGGCGTCCCAAGGAGGAACGGGCTGGTGTCGCTGTGCCACTGCCGCACGGGCACCACCCTGGCAGTGCCCAGTGTCATGGCATTGCCCCAACCAACCTAGCCACCTCCTCCGCGCGACTCACCTTGCAAGGAAAGACAAGGGCCCTCTTGGCATGGAGGAAGTCTCATGGGGAAGCACCCCGCATCGACTACGACGCCCCTCACACAGAGAAGGCCCTTGCATCTTCATGTATGTTTGCAGCAAACATATATGTTACCTGCCCTCTGTCATGGCCGTAGTTGGATAGATATCTAATTGTTTGTGTTGTGGACAAGGGCTCTTTATAATGTAAACCTGTGAAATTTTCCCCCTGCCCCCTGTGTGATTGTGGCTCCTGTTGGAGGAGATGATCTCATAACTTCGGGGTGAGGGGAACAAAGAAACCACAGCAGTTTCCGATGGGCTTTTACATTATAAAGCATTTATAAGAACACCTGTCTCTCCTGTTGGCAGCCCGTCACCGGCACAGCCCGGGAGCAGCGCGGTGCTCAGCTGTGAGCTGCCGCCCCCAGCTCCCGTGGAGATGCAGAATGTTCCCTGGCTATAAATGTCCGAACCCGCTCCATTGCGATTTCAAGAGGAAAACCCTCCCAGCTGATGTTTCCTTCTTTTTCTTCTCCCTCGACGAGCTCCTCGATATGGGTGGGCGGAGGGGCGGGAGTGAACGTGTCCTTCGTCTCTGCTGCCGCTTCCCAGGCATCGCACACCTCTCTCCCTCCTTGGCTCCACTTCCCTGGGTGGGCAAAGTGTGGCACACTGCCTTGGCCCTTCTGGTTATGTGCCCATTTAACCAGTGCTCTAACCTGCTCTCTGCAAGGCAGGAGCTGCTGGGTGATGTTTTCTCGGGGCAGCTAAGAGCACTGGGCTGGAGAGGGACCTCTGACAGCAGCAGTGTTTGTCTGCCTCCCTTGAGTGTGCCTGAAAACCTGTCTGCAGATCCGTGGGAGGGATTACATTGCTAGCTGAACATGGAGAGGGACTTGTGAAAGGGATCCTGCACTTCCCACAAGAAGGAAGGCTAGGACATGCCATGGTGTTTTGAGTTTTCTGCTAGTTTTGCTCCTCTCTGCATTTAGATTTTCCTGTGGCGCTCCTCTAAAGCCTTGGTCCCAGCAGAAGGTCCTTGAGGTGATACAGTGGCTGCTGGCATCATCCACCAAGAGTGAATGCTGAGCCACATGTTGGGTGTATAGGTTGCCAGCCCCCGTGATTTGGCCTGCTGTCTGATGGCACAGTACTACCCTAAGCAGGTCGGCAGTGCTTGGGAGCCCCAGGGGGTGGTGCAGAAATAGCCTAGGTCAGCTTGTGGCTAAAATAAAAAATGAGAAAGTTTCCATCCATAAAGCCCTGTCTCCCAATGACCTTGTGGCTTGCCCGCTGTCCCTTCAGAGTCCGTACGTCATGACTGAGAGGCCATCTCTTCTCTCCAATCGTCCGTAGCTCTCAGCATGGAAAGCTAATACGTCAGTCCAAATGCAGCCTAAATGAAAAGCCCAATATAAAACCGTAAATCTCCGAGGAGTTCAAATTAAATTAGCTGAAATAACCAGGACCATAACTAAAGACCCTGCTAGCTTTTGCCTTCTGTGGCACCCTCTGATGAGGCATTACACAAAGAGGCAGCACTTGCTCGCAGCTTTGCAGAGCTGCCAAGAGGTGGTAATACCTATTTCTGTGGATGTGCAATAGTAGAAAAGGTTGACCATGTCCCATTTCTGCAGAGTGGGGTGGTCAATGCATAGCCCTCCTTAGTGTGACCTGATCAGCAAGGACAGGAGTCTCTCCATCCAGAGGTACCCAGCAGACCTGCCTCTTTCTTTTTGTCAAGCAACGTTTCCTTGAACCCATTGCCACAAACCTTTCATTTTGGTCTGAAAACAAGAGAGAGCCCTATGTATCAGAAAAAAAAGAACAGTAGACCTGATCTGAGACTGAGCAGGACAAAGGCCTTTTAATCTATCAGGGAAATGCTACAGAGCTAAACTATTGCTTGTTAAGTGTATCTTCACCTGTTTCATCACGTAGTCAATGAGTAGAGCCTGGGGTTATTTTAATAGGGATGATTTTTAAGAAGTATATTGCTTTGTAGGACTTTGACCCATTTCCCTGTAGTGCTGACTGCCCAACATAGAGGTGGCAGAGACTCAACTCAAGCCACAGTGGAGCTTTGGTCACATTTAGGGACCTCCTGGATTTCCCTTGCTGCTTGTCTCATCCAAGTCCTGTTGGTTTGCTGCTTGGCAGGAGATCTAGTCCAACCAGCACGTCAGGTCAGGGAGGGGTTTGGCTGTTCCTGGGTTTCGGTGGATTTTGCAGGGGAGGTGACTTCCCAAAGCTAAGCAGTGTTTGAATGGGAGTTGTGACTTGCAGGTAGGTTCCCTCTCAGGCACCTTCCTCTGGCTGGTTGCAGCAAGCCTGGAGGTTTCTGTACGCCCTCCCAAGCTTTCCAGGAAGGAGGGACAGGGGCTCCGGGCTTACGCTGGAGATAAGGAGATATCCCTGGAGATAAGCCCTGTCCTGGTGACTCCTCTCTTCTGCCAGTTTTCTTATCTTCTTCTCTCTTCTTTTTTTCTCGGTGTGTTTTTGGTTTTGCTGCTTTGTGGCTGCCTGACTGGATCACCGACAGGAATGCTTTGGGGTAACTATGCTGTTTGCTTCTCCTCAGGGTGCTGGCTCTGGGGGAACGTGGGCTACTGGGGGAGCTGGTTTGTGTGCCTGTGCATCCATCTGGCTTCTGCACTGTCTCTTAGCTGAGTTCTTCCTCTTGCCACCTGTGGCTGCAGAGGTCGGACTGTGCTAGTCTGCACCCTGTGCATCGCCCTAGGATGTATTAAAGATGGTCTGCTGCACACCAGACCCTGACTGATGATCCCTGAAGGGTGTCTGCCTTGAGCTGAACAGAAGGGAACTTTATTCTGAATTAGAGAGCAGGGTGTGCAGCGTTTGTAAGTCCCTGGAGATCAGGGAATACACCCCTCTCTCGGTGCAGGAAGAAGTGCTGGTTATTTTATTGTCCTACTCAGAAAGCACTACTAGGAGTACGTGTCCTTAGCTGAGCTGACCAAACAAGCATCTTGAGACTCATTCCACTGCTCAAGGATGCTATGCTGTGGACAGGAGAAAGAGTATGAACTGCAGACCCTGGATGAATCAACACATTTAATTTCTAGTCCCCAAATGAAAAAAGTGGACGAGATCTTTGAAAGCAACGTAATTCCTTCCCTTCGGAGGAGAGCACTATCCTGCCGTTCGCCCAGGGTGCTTTAACTGCTGATCACAGTATCCGTGAAGTACTCTGTTCATGTACGGGGTGGGGAGCACACCCAGGGGAGCGGGTGGTGGGGAAAGTGGTGCCTCTGGAGAGCTGAAGGCAGGATGGTCTTCCTCAGCTCTGCTCAGTGAGATCCTGGCAACGTCAGGGTTTGCCTGTGCTGAAACGCTGCGGAGACAGGAAAAAAAAAGATGTTGTGATTGGGGTTAATCGTCACATTCAAGAAGTGAGGGTCACGAGGGGTCTTACACTTCTTTTCTAAGTAGTCCTACTACTAAACTCTGACTCTCTCAGCTGACTTAGGATGGAGGCAAGTGCTGTCCTGATCTGAATGGGGAAGACCAGGCCGGCTGTGTTGGGTAGTGCTAATGGGAGAAGGGGACAACAGCTCCCCTTTAGCAACATTCCTTTCCCCTGATGTCCTTCCATCAGCCCTTGCCTCCAGCAGGGCTGGAGGCCCTTCTACAGTTCAGCAGCCAACTGTAAGACAAAGTGAGCAAAAAGTTGTTGTTTGTGCAAACAAACCAAGCACAGAGCAAATGCTTACCTAGGTGACTATAAGGACCACGAGTGCTTGAATTAAACCTTGATGGACAACCCTTGGTGAGCAACCTGAACATAGACCTGCACTGAGAACATGCGTCTTCCTTATTTTATTGCAAATTTCTTCTGGCCACTAGCAATGGAAGAAAACAATTTGCAGTGTGGTTTGTAAAACCCCATTTGCAAATGGCACGTGCTTGCACTAAGGAAACAAACCTCTTGGTTCTGGCAAGCTGTGTGGCTTGGGAACAGAGAGGAGTGTGGTGTGACACAACGCCTTTCGAGCAGACAGCCTTGCTCTGGGAGAGCATTGCATGGCCTGCCTTAACCCTGTCATCACACTGCTTCTCACGGTGAGGGGATTTGTTAAGGTAGCTGATCCCCAGTGAAGAGGAAAGGTGCTAATGCCAAGGTGGAGAGGATTGCCTTATTTTTCAGCTATGAGAGTTGTCAGTGTGTTAAAGACGACTCATTTAGGTGGGCTGAGTGCTCTGTTAGCAATGCGTTTGTGGTTGCTGGCCCCCCCGCTGCTGAGTGTGGCCCTCCCATGTCTGTGTGTGTGTGTGTATGTGTGTGTGTGTGTGTGTGTGTGTGTGTGTGTGTGCATGCTGGGAAGGAGCTGTGTGCTGTTGCGAAATCCCAGAGAATCGAGCCCGGTGTCTGGAAGGTTATTGTCTCTCCGTTTCATTTTTGGGTGCATGCACCTCTCTCCAACATGGTAGGACCAACAAAGGTCGGGATATCAAGACCATCAAGTCTCTCCGAGTGCTGCGGGTCTTGAGGCCTCTGAAAACCATCAAGCGACTGCCCAAACTCAAGGTAATGCTTCCCATTTTCTGCCTATTTCTGTCTCCTCCAGCATTAATTGGTTGATAGCGGGTTGATGGCCTCAGGCCCCATGCCTGTGCCATGTGGGCTGCTGTGCTCATGAGCGACAGACAAGCAATTCCCAAAGCACTTGAGGTGTTTATGAGCCCTGCTTTCAAACACGATGCCTTTCAAACTGTCTCACCTTGGGCTATTCAATGAGCCATTTAAAGCAAGCTCGCCCTCAAACTAGATATCTGCAACGTATCAGAATTAGTCCTCTGTCGGGGAAATTGGAGATGGAGTGAAAACAAGGCAGCAGAGCCCAGATGTTCTCTTGATGATAGGCTGCCCCAGCTTTGGGAGAGCTCAGATCTCTTTCTGAAGTTCATTATTTTCCTACCAGAGCTAAAACTCTGCGGGTAGGATTATGGATTGCCCTACTCTAGCCATCAAGAATACAGAGCCAGCAGGGAGTAAGAGACCCAGGAAGCCCTGAATTTTCCTTACCAGGGTGTATGGGCGGATGAGTGGGACCCTGGAGAAGTAGCTTTTCATCCTAACTTTTCCTCCCAATCAGTGGATGGACTTCAGCCCAAGTCAGTTCATTTCTGGGCACCTCTGTCTTTGCCATAAGGCAGGGATAATGATACTCCTCTCTTTCCTAAGGTTCTTTGAGAATTAGGGCTGAAAGAGCAGCCTCTTAGGCCTGGGTAGTTGCCGCTGTTGCAAGCAGAGGTATTCAGTCTGCCTTGTTATTCGAGGTGATGCTAAACAAAGAAGTATTTACTAATTGGTCTCGAGTGCTGCTAATTGCATCACAGTCTCCTGTCAGCTGCCCTGTTTGCAGAGAACATTGGAAGATATAAATATGCATTATTGCTGCTTCCCTAAGGAACTGCTAAGCCTGTGTGTGTAAGTGTAACACGTGTAAGTGTGTGTGTGTGTGTGTGTGTGTGTGTGTGTTGGGGGGTACTCTGAATGTTACTCATCTGCAGAACAGCCTGGGACAAGGCCTGGCTCTTGCCTCCTTTTTCTGCCAAGAGTGGGATATGTCTCTTCACTTGGCAGTTTTGAGGTAGGTTTTGGTCCTGTCCTTTGCTGAGTCTGTTGGTTTCCCAAGGTGAGCTATGCCCTCTCCTGCAGGCTGTCTTTGACTGCGTTGTGACTTCACTGAAGAACGTCTTCAATATCCTTATTGTCTACAAGCTCTTCATGTTCATCTTTGCTGTCATTGCTGTCCAGCTCTTCAAGGGGAAATTTTTCTACTGTACTGACAGCTCTAAGGACACGGAAAAGGACTGCATGTAGGTGCCCTGTTCAGTAGGTCTGATGCTGCTGACACCTCTGGCAAAGGCATGGTGCTGGGTAATGTCATCTTGGGGTTCCCAGTTAAGTGCTTAGTTGTGACTCGTTCCTGGCTGTAGTTTCTTGGGGCAGACAGCAAGAGCTGAGCCCCGTCCGCACTGCTGTCTGTCAGCAGCTGTGCATCTTCCGTGGGGCACAGGACAGGGAGCCCTGTATTCTGCTCCTGTTCTCTTTCCTGCCTTTGTCTCCTTTGCTCTCCTCTTCTCTGCTTCCCTCAGTTTGTTATCCAGCCTCCCCATATTTCTCTCTCCAGCCCTGCAGGAGGAGAGGTGTCCCACCCCACCGCACAGGCACACTGCCCCACAGTTTAAAGCCACCATCTCATAGACTGATAATGTAAAGCAAGATCATTGCTCTCTCCCACCCTTACAGAGGGAACTATGTGGACCACGAGAAGAACAAGATGGAAGTGAAGTGCCGGGAATGGAAACGCCATGAATTTCACTACGACAATATAATCTGGGCTTTGCTTACCCTATTCACAGTCTCCACTGGTGAAGGTTGGCCCCAGTGAGTATCCTGCTCTGTCGTCTTTTCTTGAGAAGAGCTGGATGCAGCCACGTTGACGTGGTAGGGTTAATAACTGGCTGCATTCATGCAGAGCTGAGAGAGAAACTGCTGAGCAGGGAAGGAGAGGAAGGATGAGAAATGATCCTTTCTCCTGTGTGGCCCTGAAGCATATTTTAGGTCCATTTTAGAGATAACTGTAGGACTAGCCCTCTCTCCATTATAAAGAGAGCTTAGGCAATTTTTGTCTTTGTGTGTGGAGCACTGGAAAATCCATTTTCCATCAAGGGTGCAGACAGAGCACCATAAAATGAGCTATAGCCACTCTGAAGGGTCATACTTGCAAAGTGGATTAAGACTGAGGTTTATCTTGTCATTGTTACAAGCGTGGGCAGATCGAGGTGGCTGTACAGTGTGGGTGATTCTTGTCTTAGAAAAGTGCCACGTGGTGGCAGTCATGATGGACATATCTCTGGTCGCTTCTCTTCACCTGTCTGCACGCAGGGTGCTGCAACATTCGGTGGACGTGACGGAGGAGGACCGTGGGCCCAGCCGCAGTAACCGCATGGAGATGTCCATTTTTTATGTCGTCTATTTTGTGGTCTTCCCTTTCTTCTTCGTCAACATTTTTGTGGCTCTCATCATCATCACGTTCCAAGAGCAAGGAGACAAAATGATGGAGGAGTGCAGTCTGGAGAAGAACGAGGTACAGTCTGGGGAGGGGAAAAGAGGAAGTTCCTGTGTTTGCTGTTGTAGCAGACAGTTCAAGAGCCTGGAGCTGGCCAGTGATGTAAGAAACCCATGAGCCTACCTGCCTGTCCAGCCCATGAAGGAGGGAATGTGGCAGCCAGTGTCCCCCGCATCGCTGTCATTCAGGGTCTGATGTACGTTGTTTTATTCCAGAGAGCCTGTATTGACTTTGCCATCAGTGCCAAGCCCCTGACACGCTACATGCCGCAGAACCGGCATACCTTCCAGTACCGGGTCTGGCACTTTGTGGTCTCCCCGTCCTTTGAGTACACCATCATGGCTATGATAGCATTGAACACCGTGGTGCTGATGATGAAGGTGAGCTGGTCAGGGTGAGCCTGGTAAGGGTGGTGGGAGGGAAGGAGGATTAGGCAGAGCAGGATCAGAGGGTATTTTGCTTGTTTCCAGGAGATGCTTTGAGAGAGAGTTTGAGCATCTTCTTGTTGTTGCTTGATGGGATTCACAAGCTGAGCTCCTGCAGGGGTGTCTTCAGCATGCAGTGCTCAGTGGCTGTGAATGGTAATCAATCCAACATTGCACCCGGGCAGCTTTTCAGAGCGGTCCAAGAAGGTCCCTGCAGGTTTTCACATCCAGGTGAAGTATTTGGCAAAGTGATTTGCTTGTCCAAACACAGTAGTTCTCCCTCAAGTCCAAGTCTGGGATTTTTCTACCTCCTCCACATGGAAACTTGCTCTATTCCACACTCCAACTGCATGTCTCTCCTCAAAACTTTTACTGAGAGAATGTAAGAAAACTCCTATTTCCTATAAAGGGTTACCTCTGCTGCCTTTGGGGAATAGTGACAAGACCACTCAAGAGTGCTTACTGCCTGCTAACACTTGTCCCAGCATGTATTTCCTTGGCGCAGTCACTCGAAACACCACATATCTCACACTGGAAATGAGACACCCTCGCCAAACCAGAGGATGCTTCAGACCTCTTAACTGTTGCAGAAAGATCAGGACTTATTCTGTGATTCCTTCTTAGAAACAGTGGCAGCAGTCCTGGGAGAGAGGTGGAAAGGGGAAGGAGGAGATGGTCTCAAGGCACCAAGGGCAAGGAGCATGGGCCACTGCAGATCTTTACCCAGGGAAATCAGCAACCGAAATGATGGTAGGCCCCATGCTAGCTAGTGATGTCTCTCTCTTTCCATCAGTACTATTCTGCTCCATACACCTATGAGCTGGCCCTGAAGTACCTGAACATCGCGTTCACCATGGTGTTCTCCTTGGAGTGTGTCCTCAAGATCATTGCTTTTGGCTTCCTGGTAAGTGGCTAGTCCAGTTCTTGACGGTTTGCAGTTAATTTGGGCCTTGGCAGTACAGTTCGGCTCCTGGGTTCAGAGAAGTAAGGTGTTAGTAATGCAAGGTAGCTGCTATTATTTTGGGTGTCAGCCTGAGGGCTGTTTTTAGGCTGGGTGTTGGAATCACTCCTTCTATTCTCATTAAATTTCTCACTGCTAGATTTCTTGATCAATACAAAACTGTCTAGGTTCTGGACCACTAGCCAGAGCTGCTGCAGGTTGTGGAGTCACTGCCCTAAAGAGATCAGTGTAATCTGTGCTATCAGGGGTCCCTGCCACAGTCGAAGTTCAGCGCTGCTGTGACTTTAAGCAGATTTCCATTACTGCACGTGACTGTCATGCTGGGGGAAACCATACCGTTGCTTTTTGCCTCATTTCTGTGGTACTTTGGTGTCTGGACCGTATGGTGTACAGCCGTTCTGCTAAAAGAGTGCTGCTGCCTGTCGTGTTGGCGGCCAGCAGTCGTGTGACCATTTGTCTCCAGGAGCTGGACTAAGGCCACGAGATGCTAGTCTGTTGCTGTCTTTGGGCTGTATCACTTGAACCAGATCTGACCAGTGGTGAGACCTTCCTGTTTGGTTCCCAGTCCTCAGCTGCTCGTTTAAGATTTGCAGCTGTGGACTTCCTTTTCTTCAGCCAGAATTTGTTGCTTATGAACAGCTGTTGGATTTGCTCTTTTTTTAGTTTCTTTTCTGTTTCTGACCCAGCAGATGAGATCCGATAGCAGGAGGGTTTCTCGCCTTCCCTCCCTGCTCCCAACAGCCCCAGTCATGGTCAAATCCTGTATTGCACCCACCAGGTGCTGCACAAAGAGCCCCTTTTGCACAGCAAGGGCTGAGATGGGTTGACATGCCCAGAAGGAAGAGAACAAAGCAGCTACGTGGTTGTAATGGTCAGTGTGATGAGCTGTTGGCCTCAGTGCCCCTGCAGCCTGCCTGGCGCTGACTGTGACCGCTAACTGACCTGGTTTCTGGTTCTGGATGGGCCTGTTCACCTCTGGTGGTTGAGAAGTGGTCTGCAAGTGCTTCCCGGGAGCGTGAGGCCAGAACGCGGTGCCAGCAGACAGAGGGTTGGAGCAGCTTGCTCTCTCACGAGGCAGAGCGTAGCAGCGACCTGCTGCTGCAGCGAAGCGTGGGTCTGTGTAGGAGGCTGCAGAGGCAGCCGATCAAACAGGGGGCCAGGAATCGGGGACCTGTGTGCCGTCCCTGGCTCCGAGCTGATTTACCACGCGCTTAACTCCTGTCCCCCTCTCGTTTTTGGATAAGCAGCAGCGAGCTCGGAGATCCTGCCCCTCAGGCTCCTCCAGAGCAGGTGAGAAAAGGCTGCACTGCTTTGGCACTCCCTTTCACCAAGGTGGCCTGTCCGACGTGTGAGTCATCTCCTAGGCAAAAATGCTCACTGTAAACATGTTCTGGTCTGTGCTTCAGACTGTGGCTGCATACAAATGGGTGGCCAGGTCTCTGCTGCTCTCATCGTTGCCTGTAAGCAGAGTTGGCCCACGTCCCAGCGCCATTCAGACCTGCTGTCACTGTACTCAAATCCATCTTCCTTCTCCCCTCTCTTTTGCAGAATTATTTCCGGGACACCTGGAACATCTTTGACTTCATCACCGTCATCGGCAGCATTACAGAGATCATCCTGACGGACACCAAGGTGAAGACATGCAGGATCATGTGCTGTGTCCGCCTCTGCACCGGGGCTGGGGGCGGCAGGGTGTACCCATGAGGGGCGGGGGTTTCTGCCTTCTTCTGACGCTCTGATCTCCTCCCAGCTGGTGAACACCAGCAGCTTCAACATGAGCTTTCTGAAGCTGTTCCGGGCTGCTCGGCTCATCAAGCTGCTCCGCCAGGGTTATACCATCCGGATCCTGCTCTGGACTTTTGTGCAGTCCTTCAAGGTAGACCCCACATGCCCTGGTCTCCTCTTGGGCTGCAGGGCTGGAGTGAAGCTCCCAAACGCAGGCTGTTGCCAAGGCCTTTCCGACCTGTTGCCTTGCGGGAGGGGTGGGTTGCCACAGTTTACCTTCTCGCTGTGCTCTCGGCACTCCTCTGAAGTTGGACTGTGCTAAATGAGACGACTCACGTGTTTTTCTTGCAGGCCCTCCCATATGTCTGCCTCTTGATCGCGATGCTTTTTTTCATCTATGCGATCATTGGGATGCAGGTAAGCACAGACAGCTAGGATTGCATCTCTCTGGAGTGGACAGGCTGGATGAACTTGTCCTCTGCATTACGCTGAGCAAGAGCCAGCCCCGTGTCTGCCTGTCATTGCTTTACTAGGTCACAGTATCCAGGAAAAGTCTAAGGGTGGAACAGCTTGTTCATGAGCTGCAGAAGTGAATACCCTCATGGGGTTGCCTCCTGCTTGTTTAGTCGAGTTCCTCAGCTGGCCTTCCCCGCATCACCAAAGGGACAGGCGCGCAGAGAGACGATCCTCAGGGTGATTTGGACCTTGGGAGATGTGTCCTTGCAGACTCAGCTGGGTAGTCCATGTGGACAGCTGCTTTCAAATCACAACCCATTTCAGTTTTAGAAATTATATGTCATCTCCAGCTCCCTGTGCCTACCAGCCTCCAGAGATTGATTTCATGTCTGAGAGACCTGGTGAGCAGCCTTCTGTGTTCTCCATCTGAACGGATGGTTAATTGTATCGTTCCCTACAGCCTCTGTCCCTCTTTGAAGGTTTTATTTGGTAGCCACACTGCTGGCAACCTGCTTGGGATCTCCAGCTTTCGGAACTGCCGTGAACTTACCTGGGCGGGGGTCCTGAAAGCATTGGAAAACGTGAGCTTTAGTCTCCAGTCCAGTAAAAAATCAGCACATGAGTTAAAGCACTTAGTTAAAAATGTGCTGAAATGCCTCACAGGGTTAGCTTTGTAGTGTGATGACTAAGACCCACGCTGAGTATCTGACAAAGCATCTTTGACTATTAATACTCAGGATTTTGAGTTGCCTGATGAGTGAGCCATCGCAATAACTAATGCGATTGCCTGATGCTCACAGTTAGGAAGGGCTGAGTGGGGAAAGTAGATTTTGGGGAGGCAGTGGATATCACAGTTGCCACCTGTTCAGGCACAGAGAGAATCTGGCTTCCCTCGGTTGGTTGGCAATGCTGGTGTTTAGTCTCTTCCACCCCCTCTCTCCCGCCCTGAAAATCGAGTGTCTGTTTTTGGCCACTCTGTCCTACACATCTCAGCACCGGCTCCAGGTGTTCTCTGCTCTAAACAACTGCCATCTGACTCAGCCCCCCTCCCTGCGGTGTGATAGTATTTGATTTATTTTTTTTAACACCATTGTGAACAAATCCCCAAGCAGTAAAGTCTGTGGGCGTTATTTGAGCAAAATAGCTGGAGGCAGAAAATATTCTACAATTACACATTCCAAAAAACCTGTGCAGGGAAAAAAATACTCTGCAGTTAGTGTATTTTTAGATTCATGGAAAGTAGAATAAATATTTAACAGTAATAACAGCACATTTTTCCTATTTAAGGCACTTTACGAACATTTGTTATGTCCTTCCACGGCCTTGGCTGTGGGTCATTATTATGATATTCTCCAAGTTTGGGGCTTCATAGCCTCTTTTGGCCCCGGGACCTCCTGGGTAGGGTCCAGGCACACGAGCCTCAGTTGTCTGGCTGTCCTCAGTGGGTTTGCAGTCAGTCTCTCTTTCATGCAATCTGCTGCGATGGTCTCTGCTGGACTTCTCTCTGGGTCTGTGCCAGTGAGCCAGCATGGGGCTGTTAGAAAGTGGAGGAAAAAGGCTCCCAAAGCAGAGAATGGGCTATGCCACCCAAGCTTGGCGGGTCTATCGCATGCTGCTGCAGAGGATCCAGCTGGATCCGACACAAGTTTTTCAGTCGTTTGTGAGCTTTGCCTCTGCAGGAGTCACCCAAACTCCAGACCAGACCTGTCACCCCAAGCTTTTCCCCACCTGTCTGAGCTGCTGTGCCCGACCATGCTGGCACATGCCTGCGGGTTTCCGTCTGCCCCTGCCAGTGCTCCAGGACTGCAAGCCAGCACCGAGTGACCATGTTGCTTGTCCTTGTGGCTCCAGCCAACCAGGGACCTCCTGGCTGCTCTGTGGTGCTGAGATGCCGCCTGTTAATGCAGGAGGTGAATGTGCGTGGAGCCCAGTGAAATGCACAGCAGCTGGACTTGGTTGATCCCCGGTCCTCTGTGCATCATGTGCTGCCATGTTTCCATGGCAGCTTGGCCTCTCGCAGCTTTTACCGAGTACCAGAAATCTCTGTTGAGGAGAGTCTCCCTTCCCTGACTGCAGCTTATCGCCAGTTCCTCTTGCTGGTGCACTAGGTTTGCACTGGCGGCCCTTTATGGGGGAGGGGGTTTGCTGGGGGTCGCCGAGAGGGTGAGTGAGCTTTCAGCTGCTTTTGGGGCCCGCTGCACTGAAGATAGTGTGTCTGGACAGGGAGCGGTCCCTGCAGCACAGCATGCGCGTGGGTGCATGTGCACCTGGGCAAAGGTGAAGATGCAACCGCTTCGCTGGGAGCAGAGCCGTTGCCCGATGAACGGGCCCCACCAAGTAAAAGCGTCCCGCTGCATGCTGCCCAGGGTGCTGCAGGAGGCTGTCGCCTCGGTCTGCTGCAGGGGGATGTAACCGTTTCCTATCCTTGTCGGCCCCCTGACAGAGGGGGCCAGCGTATATCCTGGCTCAGCAGCTCTCCTGTGCCAGAATTATGTTTTTCATCCCTTTTTCTCCCTCCAATAGGTTTTTGGGAATATCAAACTCGATGAGGAAAGCCACATTAATCGGCACAACAACTTCCGCAGCTTCTTGGGCTCCCTGATGCTCCTCTTCAGGTAAGCGAAGAGTGTTTAAACTGCAGAAGACTTTGGCACCATCTGTGGGGCCAGGCATGCCAGGACCAAAGCAAGGCAGGCTACCCACCTCACTCGGAGCCCCATGCTCTGAAAGCTGTTTGGTGGAGATCAGCGGCATCAGGTTTTGGAGTCGCTAAAAAGTAGCTGATCAACACACGGCTGCAGGAGCTGAGGAAACCTTTTAGGGGGGGTGGGGGGAAAAAAAAAGACCATCTCCTTGTGCAAAACGGACCGGCTAGCTGGTGTAGAGTTGCAAGGCACGCCAAGGCAGAGAAGAAGAGAAGTGCAGGGCATGCGGGATGAAGCTTAGGGGGCTAGGACCAGTCCGCCTATGCGACTGGGGTGCTCTCCTTGTGCTGGAAGTCCTGCCCCTCCAAAGGGGCTCCGCACCATCCTGGTCTGGCTGCGCTTGTGTGGGTCCAGTTCGGTATCCGCTGACCCAGTGCCTTGCTCCACTGCACGCTGGAGATGTGCCTAAGTCAGTTGGGGGGTTGCACGGCCTCTTCTAAGGGAGCTAGCTTTTCCTGGGGGCATCCTTCCCCCAGCTCACTCCCACGCTGCCATGTGCTGCTGAGCGAGGCTGTGCTCATTGCAGAAGTGCCACAGGAGAGGCATGGCAGGAGATCATGCTGTCCTGCCTGGAGGGCAAAGGCTGCGAGCCGGACACCACCGCGACGTCCGGGCAGAACGAGAACGAGCGCTGTGGCACTGACCTGGCCTACGTTTACTTTGTCTCCTTCATCTTCTTTTGCTCTTTCCTGGTGAGTTCTCCTTTTCTGCGAGCCCTCAGTTTGCAAGAGCCCCTCTCATCAAATCTCCTAACACCCACCCCAGCCCTCAGGTTGTCATAAATGCCTTGACTGCGTCTTCTCTGGGGCTGGAACGTGCAGGGTAGCCTCTCTGGTGACCCAGTCTGGCAGGGACTTGGCCCACAGGGACCTAAAGAGAGGCAGCGTGGAGCCCAGCAACTCCTTGAATGGATTTGACAGGTCCCAGTGAATGCTCAGGGCCTGGGGAAGCCACTTTGGGGTTAGCTTGTAGCACCTGTGATGCCCCACGGCCTTGCTACAGCAGTAGGAGGAGAGCAGCTCCAACTGTCTGAGCCAAGCTTATGCTATTCCTCCCAAGGGGTCCCTCCACCTTTCCTGCGACGCCCTCTGATGCTAACCTCTCCATGCTCGCTGAGTAGTGCCACCCCGGCGAGCACTAAGGCTGCAGAGCTGGGCGCCTTCTACTGAGAGACCCCTACTGATATGATATGTTACTCAGTGGGAGTTCAGCATAGAGTTTCTCATGGGTCTAGTAGCTGTATGAATGGGGGAGCTCCCTGAAAACCTGTGCTCTTTCTATGTCGATTCCTTATTTAATTCTGTCTTCCTACAATTACCCTTCTTTCTCTTGCTCTCTCTTTCATTCTCCACTCCCTCTCTTTCCTCTTCCTTCCTCTCTGCCTTTTTCCCTTTCACTTAGATGCTCAACCTGTTTGTGGCGGTCATCATGGACAATTTTGAATACCTGACTCGGGATTCCTCTATCCTGGGACCTCACCATCTAGATGAGTTTGTCCGGATCTGGGCAGAGTATGACAGAGCAGCGTGGTATGTAGTCAGCTCCTTCTCTCTCAAGTGACCTCTCAGAGTTGGTTTTAAATATACATTTCTGAGTTCTGTTGTTGGAAACCACTTGGCTGTGGTACCTGGGACAGTCAGGGAAGGGAATCAGAGCTGCTGTGGCTCATGGTCATTACAAGGATAGCAGCTGGTTCCTACAACACCTGGTGACAGAGACTTTTTGAGTGCTAAGCAGCAGGTGAGACTCCAGAGATGTTAATGGTTTCCCGTGGTGTTTATCCTGAGAGCTGGAGGTTCCTGTGCTTTCTCTCCTCTTCGGCTGTGCGGGCTGCCCTGCCATGCCACCCTACAGCCTGGTGGTGGGCAGAACTCTCTCAGCTTCCTTCTCTTTCTTCATTCACCAGCCTCTGCCCTGAGGCAGGCACCCAGCAGTTCTCCATCACCTGGTCCCCCAGCCCTCGTGGCTCCCTGTCAAGCAGGGGTGAGCATGGCTTATTCCTATCTGTGGGGAGATGGTGGGGAAACTGCTGGGCTGCTACCCAGGCATCCATGTAGGGCCTTGTTTGGAGCGTGTTTTCTGTGTTCTGGGAACTGTGTAAGCTGGAGGACCGGTTTATTGTTATTCTGGCCGGCCCAATCACCCCTCTAGAGATGGAGGGACTTTGTTTCCTGCACTCATTCCTTCGCTGACGAGAGCCCTCGTGAACAGGACTCCTATTTGCAGGCAGCAGTGTGTTCCTGGCAATGGGCTGGGCTCATGGCAGTTGTACGTGCCCTGGCTTGCAGGGCTTTGGCTCCGCTCTCCACATGGCTGCAGAAAAGCTACTCTCAGCCGCTCCTCCCAGGGTGGTCTGGAGCATCCGTAGGGCAGTTACGAAGCCCTCAGCACCTTTGGGAGCAGATTTGCCCTCCAGTCAGCTCTGGCACTGTGAGGGCATCTCGTGTGGCCCCGTCCTCCCCCAGCCTGGGGACAGCGCATCCCATGCATCACCATGCCAGAGGGCGCAGGTGCTCTTAGCTCTGGAGCCCTTGGCAGCTGCACATTCTCCCTTTGGAGACTCTTTGCCTCACTGCTAATTTCCTGCATCTTGAGACACCAGCTCAAGCCAATATTTTTTTATGCCTAATACCATCAGTTTCTGGTATAGTTTCCTTCACCATTGCTGTCTAACCCAGTTCAGTTTAGTGCTGGCTGCATTCCTCCCAGTGTGACGGCCCACCAGCAGTCTTGTTGTCCGTGAAAGGCCCTGCTAGGCAGGCTGCTCTGCTTGCTAGCAGATGACTGTGTCTTGTAAAAGAGGAAGAGTTCAGCACATGTAAATAGATGTCTGTCAACTCTCGGGTGGGGAGAGTAGATGTGAGAAGTGAGGGCAACGCTGAATGTGGGGTTTCTCACATGTGGCTTTTGGGAAAGACATTTCATTCTCTTGTCCTCCACATTGGTGCCTGGGTCTCCAGGACAGTCACTGAGAGTATGACTCGATGCCATGGCCCCCTCTGATTTGTCAGAGTGAACTGTGCTCTTTTGTCATGATATCTAGTCACTTGTTAGGGAACATGCACAGAAGCCAGTGTCTTTGGGGTTGTGGGGGCAGCCCTAGCCCCTACCGCTGACCGAGGAATGGGTGAGTAGTTCTGAATGGGTCCTGCTACCTGAATGGGACTGCATCCTGACACCAAAACCAAGAATGTCACAGGAAAGGTTTCACAAGGAGACCGCGTGGGGTCTGACACTGGGAATGCTCAATGATTGTTTTTCACCAGGTGGTTGGGTTATCTGGCCAGCAATGGAGCAGGGAGGGGAGAGGGGCGAGGAGAAACCAGAGGCAAAGATGCCAGGCAGAATGATAATGCTGTGCTTTGCCTCCTCGTGTGGTTTCCCTCCAAACTTGTCTAAGGATGCCCAGGAGGCCTGCAGTACTCTGCACCTCAGCACTTCCACCCAATACAATCCCACTTTCTGAGGGACTCCGGTCTGGAGCTGGTGTCGGGAGCTCAGCATCTGACAGCATCTGCGCTATAGGTCTGCTCTCGGCCTCGACTATTTAACCCTTTCTGCTGATAAAGGAGGGATATGGGTTGTATTCCATGATTACTGCAATCGGGTCTGGGAACATCTGCTTCTGTGGGTGAGAAGGGTTTTGTATATGGGAGGGATTGCTTCTAATAATGTGTACCCTTGGTAGAGCATGGTCTGGTGGTCAGAGCACAGGACTGGACCTCAAGAGACCTAGGTGCTAGTGCCAGACCCACCAGTTACCAGCTGGTCACATTATCTCTCCCTGTCTCAGGTTCCCCGGATTTTGGAGATACAATTGACTCAGCTACCAACCTCTTTGAGACTTTTTGCGGACCAGAGAGTTGGCCGTACAAGGCCAGGCTCTCTCGTGGTGTAATGGGACACAACTCCATTGAAAGGGCTCATCGTTGCTAGAACCCAAACAAGTTGCAACCTCACCGTGTCTAAAATCCCAACCCTCTCCCCCTGGGTGCAGATGGCCAGGGGCACTAGGAGGAAGGGAGATGAGGGTAGTGTTCACTGCCAAAGCCATGTTTTTCCAGGGGCACTGTCCCCTTCGGTGCAGATCCGTATGAGGAGGTATGAACTGATTTGCATTGGAGAGGCAGTAGCTGATGCTTAAGCTCACAGCTTTCTTCTCTCTGGGTCTGACAGAGCTAGAAGGAGAAGAGCTGTGGACCCCGGGGGTCTTGGCCCAGAGACTTGGTCCAGTTAAGCTCTCCGTCCTCTCCTCCACCCTCTCAGTGTCCTATTAACCCACCTGTGCTTCCTTTGCAGCGGCAGGATCTCGTATAAGGATATGTACAAATTAGTACGGGTGATCTCGCCTCCTCTGGGCCTAGGAGAGAACTGCCCCTACAGGGTGGCGTGCAAGGTTTGCCTCCCAGTCCTCTGCCACAACCTGGCCACGGGACGCACCATCCACCCCTCCTTCCCCCCCTGCTCCACCACCACTGCGCCTCCCGAGGGAACCCTTATGTTGCTTTCCTTTGAGTTTAAAGAGGTCCGCGCCTTCCCAGAGCCAGCAGCTGTCCCCACAGGGGAGGCGTGAGTGGGGTCCAGGGGAGCCCAGAGCCTCCCGGGGTGGGTTTCGACAAATTACATCCCCTGCCAGCCCCCCGCCTGGCTCCATTGGCACAGGAAGTCCCTTCACTGTCCTGCTCCCCTGTGCCTGGCAGGGAGCGAGCACTGCCCAGAATGCAGTCATGGGGCTGCCAGGCCAGACAGCTCTGTTCCCTTTTGGCTTCCAAGAGTGGACTCAGTGGGAGCAGATTTTTCCCCTGCTGGTGAATGGGGCTCAGATATGGTTTGCCCCTGGAAAGGAAGGAAAGAGTAAAGGCAGGAGGATGTTGGATGCTTTGTCATTGATTTGGAGAGTGAGGTGGGGGGAGGAAGAAGAGGCCAACGTGACCCCTTTCCTTGTAGGAGATCCAATGGACTCTGTGCCATGCCAGACAGTGGGACAGCACCCGCTCTAAGTGTGATGCTTGGATGCTACACAGTTGTTTCTCTGGGGAACAAGACGCTTCCTAATCTGCCCTTGTTTGCCAAACCCACTGTAAAGAGGTGGAGCAGGGGACTTCAAAGAGCTGAGCCGGCAGGCTCACTGGCTCCGCGCTGGCCATGCTCATCTGCAATGCCTGGGCTGTGTCTCTCATTGCAGATGCCAGCAGCCATTCACACTTGTCCCAACTCTCCGGAGCTCAGCCACTTTTCTTCCTCTGCTTGGGACAAATTTTTAGATCTAGATGCGAGTCTGAGGCAGCAGTTTGGCCTCCTTATGTATCTTTAGCTTGCACATTCTTTTAAATTCTGCTTTAGGGTGACAGCTGAGCAAAATCCTGCACCTACCACCTTCTCCAAATTGCCACAATGGCCATGTCCCTGTCCATGGCACAAGACCACTGAGCTCTTCCTTCCCTCGTATTCTCTCCCAGCCTCTAAGAAGATATAAGAGGGAAGCTTAGACATTCCCAATCTGCAGATTGTTGTTCTGGAAGGGAAGGTGGTTCTTCTTCATGGTATGATGTAGCCTCCAGATCTTCCCTGCCACATCAGAAATGATTCTTCAAGACAGCATCACTGCAGTGGGTCTATCATCCTCCACAGCTGGTCTTGGAGATCAATCCCAGAGTCTGCTCTGGGACGGAAGATGGCCCATGCCTTCCTGTGGCTTCACAAGAGTGTACCAATTCACAGGGCAAGAATCTGCCCCACTTTGCAGGTTGACTCCTTCTGGGGCAAACATGCTCCGTCGCTTCTCGCCTGTGTCCTCCCGGTGCATTTCCATGAGCAAGAGAGCTAAGGTCTGCCTAAGAACCTGTGCTTATGTCCGTGTGTCACTGCAAGAAAAGCAGAAGAAAAGTCATGAGAGGAACCAGAAGATTCCCCTGTCCTAGCCAGATTCATCTCCTCCCTCACATCATGGGAGCTCTTTTTGCTTTCCAGCATATTTGAGAATTAAAAGTTTACCTTGCGCATATTTGAAATTTTGTGGAGCAGGCTAACACCAGAAGTAAACCAGAGGAAGCGAGACAAGGCCTGGCCACTCCATCATCTCTTTTATGAAGAAGCCTTTACAGAAAGGTGGGAATTTCTTGCAAGAATCTCAAATTACTCATGCATTCAAGGAGGAGGTCCAGTCTTTTAACTCATCTCTGTTGTGTCCCTGGCAAAGGACAAGGGGTTTTGTTGAGGGCACTTGCTCAGATCCCTGCAGAGAGCAGACTCCTTCGGGAGGAATTTCTCGTCTTTTTCAGTTGCCGTCAGGGCTTCGCTGGCAAAGGCTGCTCTCCTAAACCGTATCATCTGGTGCAGTGACCTACTTGGCATAGACTTCTCTGGATCTGAAGGGAGACATTCTAGACAAATGCCGTTTGCTACAGCATCAGTCAAGTCCGCAGCAGGACAGATTTGTCTGTGGGTCCCATGCTTCCCATGCATAAGGACTCTGATTCAGAAGAGGTCACAGCATGAATGTTCTGGAGCTTGGTTATTCCCAGTATATTTTCCCCAGTCTCAGGATGTGCTGAGAAACCCCTGAAGGAGATTTTCGTGCTCACCAGAGCTGACAAAAGTATGGCTTATGTCTATTGTGAAGAGACGGGCTCAGAAAGGTGCCTGTAATGCTTCTTGATAAGAGAGCGCTCTGCAGGATCTCTTGAGCTTCTGTGGGATGGACAGAGCAGTGAAGATGAATGAACTCAAGGGGGAAGTGGAGACAGAGAGAGCAAAACGAGCTTCTACTGTCATGTGAAGGAGGCCATACCCTTCCAGCCATCTCTCCCAATTTGGTGAGCTTATCTCACGCTCTACAGTGTAGAGGTTCACCTTCCTAGAGGCAGAAAGGGCCATAATTTGCAAAATGATGTGAGAAAGGAGCCCACAGCCCAATTCTGCCAGGCAGTGCAAGAACCATGACTTGCAGAAATGAACATAGACGTGTTAATGGAGCGGTGGACCTGCTGCTCGGGATATTTCCTCCTGATCATCACGCCTGATAGTCACCAGTGTTGTTATCAATCCTCTCTCCAACTGATTTAGATCTGTTGGGTTGCAAAGGGCATACAACTTGCCCAGTCTGTTCTCTGCCTGTGCCCTGAACAGCTCCTGTTGCATGGTAGCTGCTGACTCTTTATCACCATCTCTATGTTACACCAGAAACTTCGGGACTAATCTTGGTGGGGACCTCTTTGGTCAGGGAGCTCTTTCAAACTAGCTGAACCCCTGAGAAGAGGAAGTATCTTCTTCTTCCCTTTCCACACGGCTCTCAGCAAATAGCTGGGGAAGAGGTCAGGATCCTGCAGAGAGTGCTTTATTTTTTGACAGTTCCCCCTCTCCCAGGCAGCTTCAGCTGAGACAGGTTCCTCTCCAGCAGCCTCTTCCCCAGCCCATCTGTAATGGTTGACGCCTTTGCTGTTGCGAGATTGCTCTTGTATATTAACCATCCTGAATGTTGCGGTGCAGATTGGAAGCCTGGTACGAGGGGAAGAAGAGGTGGCCAAGCCCGGGATCTCTGGGAGATATATTTGAACAGTCTCCAGGATGTGCGGAGAGAGGGAGGCACAGTCCAAATATTTCAGCCTGGCAGAGAGCTCAGGGCATCACTGAGTGGCCTGTTTTTTGCAGTGTTCTTCACTGCAGTAATCCTAGGCAGGTCCTGACAAAGCAGAGGAGCACGAGGTGGGGGTCCATCCTAGCTGTCTCACTTGGGAAACCCAAACAAACCCCAATATTGGAAGGCCCAAACAGCTGCCTCTGCTGAGACTCTTTAAACTCCATCCTGGTGGAACTTGCAGCCGCATGTGGGAGAGAGCCAGGGCGGGAGCATGGCATGTACAACTTTTCCTCCTGGTTTTGTTTTTTCAGCCAATTCAGCATGCCTTTTGCACTGGTGCATGGTGGGAAAGTGGTCCATCCGCAGAGCCAGACGGAAGCAACTGGGCATCTTCCTTTGACAAGTGACCCTGGCCCACTGCCTTCTATGCAAGATGCTGCCTCCCAATTGCATAGACATTATGAGATGGGGATACACAGCCTTCCGGCTATGGGTTAGGTGGCAATGTAAAGCAATACGCAGGCCCCGGGAGGGAAGACGCTACGGAGGCCAAAGAACACTTTGAATCGCTGTGGTATAAACCACCGTATCTGAAATAACCCATGGCTTGAGTGCCGTGTATCTGATTTATACCACTCGCACACAGCCCTGGAACCTGTGGGACAAGTTGGGGGCTTCTGGAGGGCTTTAGGAAAGGGGTTGAGACAAGACAAGGACTCCCAGACTGCTAGCGAGACAGGCGCTTGAGGCCAGCGGCAGAGAGGAGAGGCGTGAGTTGGTTTCTGCCAGCATTCCTGGGTCTGTGTGAGTAGTGCTATAAATCCACATCAGGACAGTCTCTCATGTATGATTTGCCTTGATTAACGGGTTTCCTGTTCTTTTCCTGTTTGTCCGTTTGTTTTTTCTCTCCTGTTTCCTGTACTATTTTGTTTGTATGTTTTTCTGCTCTCTGGGAATGCCTCCTCTCTCTCTGCATCTCCCTCCCTTCCCTTTCCCCTTCATGAGCAGTGGCCGAATCCATTACACTGAGATGTATGAAATGCTGACTCTTATGTCACCACCGCTAGGCCTCGGCAAGAGATGTCCTTCCAAAGTGGCCTATAAGGTAGATCAACCCTTCCTTCTATGCGGGCTAGAGCTGAGCAGGAGCTGGGGCTCAAGGGAGTTGCGGGAGGTGGGCTTGGGGGGCAGATGTGGGGGTTGGGGGGCTTTCAACAAGTTTTTAGCTCACTCCTGGGAATAGCATGATGTGTACGGAAGAGTCTCGGCCACACTTGCTGTCTGTGAGCCTGACGCTCCCATTGTCGCTCCCAAGCCCTGGAAGCTCTGGGATAGCAGACCACTGTGGAAGAGGAGGAACAGGATCAGCAAAAGAGATAGTGGGGAGGTGGAAGGACTGGAGAAGATGAGGTGATGAGTTACCCCATAGCACTTTCAGGAGGCTGGGACATCTCTCATGAGCTCACTGGCCCGATTGGCTTTGGGGTCGCTCATCCTGGAACCATGCTTGTCCCAGCCGGTGCAGAAACTTGGCTAAAGCTCATGGAAATGGGAAAGAGGTGGGCCACTGAAGGCATATTCTGTAGGAACAGCTCTATAATATGTGAGGAGCCAGTTTTGGAGTGGCACACTGCCACAGGCTATCCCAAGGATGGCCTGTGTAAGGTGGACCAAGGCAAAGTGAGGTGCCTTTGAAAGGAGGCTCTGGGTTTTACGCCTTTGCGGGTAGTGCCTTACAGCTCACTCATGGAGCATGTGCTTGCACAGCTTTCTTCTGGCCGTGTAGTTGCAGATCAGGAGGAGCAGAAAGCCCTAAAGGGTGTTGGGTGGCAGCTATGTGTGGTTTGCCACTGGCCCACGCTTCTGCCGAGGGCAGCAGCCACTAGGAAAAGACTCAGAGATGCAGAGCATTGTGCTTCCAGGGTCACAGCCTAGGTCTGGAGCGTTTCTTGGCAGTGGGCTGCCAGCCTTCGCAACCAATGGACCTTTTAGCACTGTGGGTAAAGGTGCTAGCTGAGGGGTGGTTTCTGCACACTTGCAAGTGCACTGCCATCTTCTCCATCTCTCGCATGTTTGTTGGGCACATGCATACACCCACCATCGCGCTTGTCCAGGAGAACCAGGGAGGGTTGAAGGCAGGGAAAGGACATGAGAATCCGGGAGAGAAGGAATGAGTGGGGAAGGGATGATCCAAGGTAATCACAAAGCAAAATATACTCTCTGGAAAGTGGATCTGGTCACTTCGGTTTGCACCCCACCTGCCCAGGGTGGGAAAGGAGCATGGCGTATCTAACCTGCCTTGGTTGCCCTTCTCTTTTTCCATCTGCACTTCTCCTACCCGCCTTTCCCTTCTCTACCCTTGGATAATTTGGACCCTGTGCATGTGCTGGCAAACTTCATCTCTGAAAGACGCAAAAAGGGGGCGCCAGGATGTAGCATGCTAGAGGAATCAAGCTGATCTGAAGTCCCTGAAGGTTAGGGACCTTCCTCTCCCCTGCCCCAGATGGGAAGGGTTGAGAGCCGGAAAGCCATACCACCTGGGAACGGTAAACTGAGCCTCATCTCCCCATCTTGAGCATATCTGATGCCTGCATCCCTGATGGATCAGGAGTGTCTTTCCAAAAGTGTGAGTTGCTATGACAGCCCTGTGCCAGGTGCTTTCTTGGGGAGATGAGCTCAGGGGCCGTTCCTGGGGGGCTGCAGGAGGAGCCCTGGAAGGCAGTGAGCCGGTGTCCTGGGGTGGAAGGAGCCGGGGGCGGGGAGGGGGTGGAGGGGGGTGATCCTTGCCCTTCTTTTTTGGCTGTGCTGTTTTGACACTCTTTGTTGCTTTTTATTTTTTAATTTTTTTCCTTTTTTTTTTTGACATTTAATTTCTTTTCCTCCAGCCTGGTCGATGTGTTTTTCGATATTGTTTTCCGTCCGCTGTTTTCTTCTCTCTCTTGCGCAGAGACTGGTGCTGATGAACATGCCAGTGGCTGAGGACATGACGGTCCACTTCACCTCCACCTTGATGGCACTGATACGCACAGCCCTGGACATCAAAATCGCCAAAGGTAATGTTGGTGGCATAGAGAGGGGACAGAGCAGGAGGATTTCACAGTTGCCAGCACTGGCTGAGGGGAGCCAGCTCATTCTGTCATACTTCAGTCCCTTCGGACAGGCTGAGGATATGCGCAGCCAGAATGAGTCTGGCTGCCCAGAACCAGGAACGTGGTTGGAAGCGATTGACCCAGAAAGGTGAATTTCTGCCACCTTCTATCACGAGTCAAAATCCATTTCTCTGTGGAAAAGCTGGCCAGCTTTCTACTAGAAGCTACTGTGCCTGGAAAGCGGAAACAGAACTTAACATCCATTTGTAAAATGGGAAAAAGGGGAGAAGGAGAATTCCCCTTCCTCCAGATCTACAGAAGTAAACCAAGGAGGGGGAAGATCATGTGTGTTTGGCCTCCTCTGGCTGAGGAACAGAAATCCGTCTTGCAGGGAAGATAAAATGTTCAGAGCAGGAAGACCTGGTTTGTTGCTGCTGGAAAAAACTCTTGATTCATCAAAGCAAAAGCTTTCTGTGGAAACATCCAATTTTTAAAACGTCTCCCCTGGGAAAAGCTCAACTGTTGGAAGAAAATCCAATCTAGGGCAAGACCATCAGAATCCCAGCGCTCAGAGAACTCTCTGCATCTTAGAAAAAACAAATTCAAGCCCTCTCTAGATAAAGCTGAGATTTGAACCTGGGTCTCTTTTAGAGCTTAGCCAAGTTCCCTTGCCCTGGGCTTGGATCTCTCCCTTGTTGGTGCACGTTAACGGTTCCTTTTGAGCCTGGGTCTTCCACAGCTCGGTGAATCCCTTCCCTACTGGCCAGAGAGCTGCGTTCTCCTCCCTAAGCGGTATCAATGAGAATTTAAGGATTTCAGCCAAGTGGAGCTGCTCTTTCACCGGCACATGATCCACTTACCAGAAAAGAGAAAGTGGGGCAGCAGCAGGTGTGTGTGGGCTGGAGTAGGATTGGAGCTGCAGAGACGGACGCAAGGAGAACTTGAAGATGGCAGCTTTGAGTGGGAGGGCAAGGGACTGGAGATGGAGGCACATATGGAAGGGAAGATAGGAAAGTGTGCCTGCAGGAGCAGGAGACTGGGCTCACTGGTGCAAGGTGGCCCTCCCAGCCTGGAGGGCTGGTTGCCACTTGTTGATACAAGCGAGCCTTGCTTCAGGATTGGAAAGGGTGTTTAGCTGGGCCCTGGCACCAGGTGTAGACATTCGTGGGCTTTTTGTCCCTTGCTGTTCCAGGTGGTGCAGACTGGCAGCAGCTGGACTCTGAGCTTCAGAAGGAGATCCTGACCATTTGGCCTCACCTGTCCCAGAAGGTGCTCGACCTGTTGGTACCCATGCCAAAAAGTGAGTCTCCCCATGGGTGGTCATCACTGCTAAGTTACTGTCATACCTGAAGCAGCATCTTCCCAAAGTGGGGTGGGGACCAGTCCGACCAACCCTCAGCTGGGGGAGAAAAGGGGAAAGGATTATGCTGATACAGGTTTAGTTCTGCCCTGCTCTGCCTGGTTCCTTGTTAACCCTCTTGAAAAATGCAGTGCTCCCCTCTTGGCAAATCCAGAGTCTCCTGTAAGTCATCTTTGGAGCATATAGGGGCAGGAGGCTGAGGAGCATGTTTGCTCCATTACGTTTGATGATGTGACAAGGATATGCATTTTGGTGCTTTATTATGGTGCTTCCAAGCCATCGTCATCTTTTTCATCTCCCCCCAGAGTGTTTGGGTCTTTAGTTCTCTCTCCCTCAGAGCAGTGAGCAGATCCTGAGGGTCACCAAGATATCCAGCGTCAGGGCTCTTCCTGTGGTCAGCGCTGATGCCTTCAGACCTGCTTGTTTCTCTTGAAACAAAAGTATCCCTCCTTCTTCCCCTTTTATGCTCTCAGCCTCTGACCTGACTGTTGGCAAAATATACGCAGCTATGATGATCATGGATTACTACAAGCAGAGCAAAGCGAAGAAGCAGAGGCAGCAGCTGGAGGAACAGGTGAGGTTCAACAGCAGCACGAGGTGGGCAGAATGGATGAGTTCAAAGCATCCTTGCAGGGATGGTGCTGCAGGGAGTTTGCTGCTTCATACCACATCCCTGCGAAATGGATGCTCAGCACCCAGCTGGCTGGTGCTGTGCTGGAGACAGTTGGAGAGATGATGCCCTCCAGCTCTGGACCTCACCAAGATCTCAGGTGCTTGACTCTAATGTGGTGTCATCTCCCATCATGTTCTCCCAGGCTTTTGGGAAACAGTGCAAAGGGCAGGGCTGCTGGTTGAGTGGGCTTGTGTAGCTGCTTTGAGGGGCAAGGCCATCAATACAGGTTGGGGCATATAGGTGACTACAGACGCATGTGAAGAGCCTCCTCAGTCACCAACAGGGAACATGAACACACTGTCACCTTTCCAAGCAAAGGGGGCTTACTTGGTGATGCACTGGACGTTCTTCTGCATTTTATACAGGCTCAGGTTCTTCCTTTCCTCAATACAGAAAAATGCTCCCATGTTCCAGCGCATGGAGCCTTCCTCTTTGCCGCAAGAAATCATCTCAAATGCTAAGGCTCTGCCTTATCTCCAGCAGGACACCATCTCGGGCCTGTGAGTATTGCCCTGAGAATAGGAGAGGTATTCCTGTAGCCTTCATTTTGTTTTATGGAGCTGGCATTGGAGATGTGTGAGGGGTGGTAGAGCTACTTAGAGTGGGGGAAATCCATTCCCTGGGCAGAAATCTCCCAGCACAAAGCTCTTGTTTGCTGGAGGCAGGATCCCAGATAGCTGGTTTGTGTCAGCATCACCAGCAGCAGCAAAGGTAGCGAACGGGAGACAATCAGATGTCTGCGTGGATGGTCCTCTTGCAGGATCATCCCAGAACCCCGGAGTGTCTCCTTGGTTGAGAAATGAGTGTGCAAAGCACGTAGCAGGTGGTTCTGGGTCTGCCTCTCAATTCCCTTATCCTTCCCTTTTAAATGTTGGCTGACAGGACAATACCAAGGCTTTTCTTCCTCCCATCCTCCCGTGAGGTGGACGCTTTTCACATGAGCTACTGCACTAAATGACTGGGATCCTTCTTAGCAAGCTGAGATGGCCAAACTGTAGCTCTTGAACCTCACGCAGCTTCAGAGCCATTCAGCAGG